CTTTATTTAGCAAGTACTTTTTTCATTTGACGTTACACAGCACAAGTGGTCGGATATTTTTTGTAGGGGAGTGTATAACCCATATAGGATGATCCTATATTACCTCGTCATTGTTAACATTAAGATAGGATAATCCTAGAGAAATTTGTCCGCCTGGAAATTTTCATTATGAAGTATTTGTGTAATAAAAATTCAAAACTTACATGCATATCCATTAAAACTTAAGTTTACATTTGATAATGCGAGTTTTTGAATAATTTAATGTGAATTTCATTGTAGGATTTTTGTGTAAATTTGAATGATTAAAATATTCTTGTCGAGTATCGGGGGTTTTAAATAAAATCTTTAAAAATACGTGCATATTCATTAAAACTTGAACTATCATCTTGACAATGCGAGTTTTTGAATAATTAATAGATGATCATCATTATTCTCGGTTTTTTAAAATATCATAATGCGAGTTTTGCATGATTATTAAAAATAGGCGTCCAAATACTTTTGACTGTAATCTTCCAATAAAATTAACTTGTATTTTTTTAGCAATTAAAATATCTGTTTGTTAAAAACGTATAAAACGTATCCACATTTTCCTTCCAAAAAATCATTCTTAAATCATCTCAACATTTAATAACAATAACAATAACAATAAAAAATTTTTAATATACAAAAAAAAAAAATTGTTGTCAAAATCTTTTAAATCTTTGGCATTTGCTCTTTTAATAATAATGATTTTCTCGAATGCATTTATCTATGCATCAGCAGCTTTCGAAGAAAAACGCGATGTGGACTCCTTGGAAAAACGCGCACCACCACCAGATATAGGCAAAGCTGCTTTTGCAAGATTCGGTGACAATGATAAAGTCAAAGGTATAATCACCTTTGTTGAGGAGTTTGACGTTGGCGCTACTCATCGAGTGCTAATTACAGTTGCAGTGTTCTCCGATGGTTTTGTGAGCCCGAATATTAATGATTATAGATTTTTCATTGGAAACAAAAGTGTGACTGATGATTTTTCAACCTTTGCAAGTTAATTCTCCTAAAGCTAAATTTAGTGGCGGTTGCCGTATTAGTATCAATGGACTTAGAGTTAAAGATATCGTAGGCAAGCAATTCCTTATATTGAGAAAGTTTAGGAAGGGGTTTGTGGGAATTGGCCAAGATAAAATTTCAGCTTTCTAATTAATGATTTATGTATAATTATAGTATGTTTGTTTTTAATATTATTAACACAATTACTATAATAACATAACAATGTATAATTAAATAAATATAAATATTCTTTAGATGCTTATTCGAAAATAACAATTTTCTTTAAAAAATTGCTTTTTAATAAAATAAAATACATAAGATAATTTCTAAAACAAGCGATTATTTATCAATAATATGATTAGGATTTTTATGATCCACATTTAATAAGAAAAAGTATATTTTTGGTGACTGCCGGATTTTTATGATCCATATTTAATTGAAAAATATATTTTTATTAACATTACATTATTAATGTTAAATATTAATGAATAATTCGAAAAAAAAAAATAACGTTTTTTTATTGTAAGTTTTTTTATCAAGTTCTTTTTTTAACTTCTTCAATGGCATTTTCAATTATGTCGTAATTTATCTGTTGCTAGTATTGAAGTATCAAAATGTTCTCCAAAATAATTTCTTTGGTTTGAATTGTGGCATTTGGACAAAGGCATAAATGGTTTTCACATCTAGAACTTTACGCACTATATGTATAATACTGATCTAGTGTCACACATATTTAATGTCACACATATTTAATATTACAAGTGATGGTTCTTCATTAATTTCCTAGTTAACAGTAAAAATTATTAATAAAAATTATTGATAAAAAGGATATAAGGATGAAAAAATGATGATTACCTGCATCATCTTTAAGATTTGTTGTCTTTTATAAGGCTTTGAAAAATAACTATACAAATTTTTTAAAGTTTTTTCTTATTTCTTAAAATATATAACTTCTTCTGAAGCATCTTTTCCAGCCTATGTGATATACAATGGTTTGAAGTCATGAATGGATTGATTTTTTTAAATCTTGCTGCAACACCGCTCATGTGTCCTAATAATTAAAATGAATTGGTTAAAAAAAATTAATTTTTGCACAATTAAATAATGATTTCATCAATTTCATACCAATCATGTTAGAAGCACATCACTTCTGAAATGAATAATATTGTGATAAGATATTGAATTTGTTATAAAAATAATGAAAAAACAGATTGGTTACACGGATCAGAATTTCTTGATATGGTGCGAATCATCTAAAGACATCATGTGCTGCGTCACTTGCCGAAAATTTTTATGCTGATCTTGCTTTATAAAGAATCCAATATATAAAAATAAATCCGAATCTGTGACTTTGTCACGTGAATAATTGGTAAATAATCTGTAAATTGCAGTTTAGATATATAGTTGCCTTGAGGATATCTCTAGATTAGAAGGATGGTTATCAGAAATTAAACGTAAGGGAAAAGAATTATTTAGAGCATTATGCATTGAAGAACAAATCAAACAGAATCAATTAATAAAAGAGGCAATTGAAACTTGATGCAACAATATAGATGATAACCCATCTAGGATGATAAGCAGCATCTTAGACAGACACAAGAAACCTCTAACTATCAACAAAATAATAGAAAGAGGAGAAAATGATGAACCAGTAATATACACAGAAACAGAAGAAATAATGAATAAAACTTGTAAATATTTCAGAGATATGTCAGTACAAAGGCAATGGGATAGAGTGGAGCATATAAGACAGTGGAGCGAACAATACACACCCAGAAATTACATAAATGAAGATTGGTATGAAGACCTTATGACAAATATCTCAGAAGCAGAATTACAAATAGCTATATCTGAGTGTGCTAACAACAAAGCAGCAGGCCCATCAGGCATAACATACGAATTAATCAAACATACTTCCCAAAAATTTAGGAATTTAATTAGGAAACTCCTAAACAAATGCATCATTACACAAAAAATCCCCAAAGAATGGAAAAACTCATTTATATTCCCAATACCTAAAAAAGAAGCTTGGGATGGTAATTTAGCAAACACCAGACCAATAACATTGATAGAAACCACAAAAAAACTTCTATCAAAAATATTAACTAATAGGCTATCCACAATATTCTCCACATACAATATATTAAGAGGGAGTAATTTTGCTGCATTGCCAGGAGACTGTACACACACACCTCTGCATATTCTGAATAATCTGATAGAAGATTCTAAAGAGAAAAATAAAGAACTCTGGGTTTTGTTTGTGGATATATCTAAAGCCTATGACTCCATGAACATACAAATTTTGGAAAAGGCAATGAACAGAATAAGATTACCCAAAGAATTCATCAACCTGGTGGTCAATACCCTAAATAACAGGTCAAGTCAAGTAATCACATCTGTTGGAGTTACAAATAAGTTTAATATAGAAGATGGAATTGAGCAGGGGGAAGTGTGGTCCCCTATTCTCTGGAGAATTTTTTATGATCCCCTTCTGTGCAAATTAGACAAACACCCTGAACTAGGTTACAACATGTATACACAAAATTTAAGAAAACTCAACATTATGCAACCCACTCCATTATCAGTATCAATAAGCAATCTAGCTTACATGGACAATACTGCCCTCATAGCCAGCAATCAAGAAGCTATGATATCATTATATCAAATAACAAAATCCTTTTACAAAGCCACTGATATAAAAGATAATCTAAAAAAGTACCAATTGATCATTCTAAATTCTAAGAATAAAACTATAACTTTACAAAACAATCAAATAGTTAAAGCTGCTGGAATGAACGAATCAGTGAAATATCTAGGGATATTGATAAATGGCAATGGTACCTACAAAGATCAAAAGAGAAATATATTTGAATTTATGGAAAATGCAGCCAACATCATGAGGAAAAAAAAAATAACAGATATACAAATCATATATATTTATAATAGAGTGTTACTTCCAGCTGTCAAATACAAGTGGCAAACTGTAACCATGACAGAGACAGAATGCAGGAAATTATTAACCACTCTTATAAAGATTATCAAACAAAAATCATACCTGGCGAAGACCTTACCAACTACTACACTAACTAATCCTCATTTATATGATGTGAAAGACATATGGGGACTACAAGCACAACATCACATCCCTAACCTAATATACAGACTGAATAACAAAGGAATATTAGGTGTAACCACAAAAATAAGATTGACTGATCTCCAACAGGAGATGTGGGAAAATAAATGTATTTTACAAACCATACCAATAGAGGGAAAAAGTTCGATGAAAGCAAATAACATAATATACAACATAATGGTAATAGCCAAGAAATGGGGGCTCAGAATTTGTAACCATCTTCCACATCAGGAAATTAATTTAGCGTAAACTTGCATAAATCTTACAATGCCGACGTAATATTGTGTAAATCTTACAGTGCCGACGTAAGTTTTACACTTTTTTATTATTAAACTTACAATTGACACGTGTAAAATTTTTTTATATTTTCCAGATGCAGAAGACAAAAACCATGAATTCATTGGGGGTGACATAACCATTAAAGATATATTAACAGACAACAAGTTATTTAAAAAGAGTACGAAACTTCCAAGGAAATTAAATCTAATGTTTTTGAATCAGCTTGTAACAATAGATGGTAAGCATTTATTGAGATGGGACCACTGGCTGGCCAGAAATAAAACTCAATCAACTAGGAAAAAACCAAGTTGGTATGGGAAAATTGAACAAGTAGTAATGGAGAATCCAATCACTAGAGTCTTACATGAGAGATACATAATTAATGATCCAAATCTTACATACCAAAGCAACAGCAATAATAAAAATTCCTTAATAATTGCAAAACATAAAGACATTATAACATATGGTAAATATCACAGTAACAGTAATAACAGTAACAAAAACCAAATAAACAATGGGGAAATTAATTTAATACATTACCAAACATCCTGCCAAATATCACCCACCACATCTCCAACAATGGCAGACTGGGAATCGCCTCACATGCTTAAATGCACAGGATGCAAAGGCAATAGTAACAATAATCAAGAATGCATAATTAGGATTAAAAGCAAGGAATCAATAAAAATTCCTTACAGCAAGGGCAGGGATGGGGATTTAAAGCTCAGAATCACTACAGGAGAACTGGGAAAAATAAACCCTATCAGTAATAACTCACAAACATATGACAACAATAATAACACAATAAATGGTAGTGAAGAATGTATAAACTACATAAAAACACTATTCTCTTTCAACAATCAAATACAAAAGATAATAGATATATACAGAACTAATCAAACAAACAGGAACAAATATAACAATTTTGAATTCTTTACAGATGGATCAGTCAAAAAAATAGGCCACTCAGAATGCAAAATGGGAATTGGGTGGATAGTTACATCTGGTCCAGCTAAAGGCAGTACCTTTAAAGCTAACATAAATAAATGGCCAGCACAATTTAAGGCAGAATTATTAGCCATATTCACAGCTGCTCTCACTGTACCAAAAGAGAAAATAATAACAATATATACAGACAATCAAGTTATAATCAATAATTTCAAACTTCACAAAAACAAACCTAACCAAACAATAAGAAACAAGTACAAAACAAATCACGGTCCTATTTGGTTTACACTGATTAATTTCCTCAACGAACAGAGTTTAGAAATTAATTTCAATAAAGTCAAAGCTCACACAGGAATTAAACATAATGAAGTAGCTGATCAATTAGCAAGCGAAGGGTGCAACTCAGAAATCATAAACATGATAGAACAAAATTGGAAAATAGATGAATTTAACCTTTTCTGGAACCAACATCTAGTTCAAACATCATTAAGACCATTCATCAGAAAGTTAGTAGAAACCAAAAACACAATAAAATGGTTCAACCAAACAAGATTCAATAGAACCTGGTACACAAATAAACCAGGGACAATAGATTGGGAAAACACATGGCACAATATATTTAATAGCAAAAAATTTACAAAAAGTAATAGAATTTTTAATTCAGTATATGACAGAAGCTACAAAATCAAATTATTAATGAGTGAACTTCCGGTGCTTGAAACACTACACAAGAGAAATCCAAAACTATACACAGACAGTACGTGCCCTAGGTGCCTAGAAAGCAAAGAAGACCAAATACACATTTGGACTTGTAGTGCAAACAAAACTTCTGTGATGGAGATATTTTGCTTTGAGATACATTTAATGTTAAAAAAACTTAAAAAAAAAGGAAAATGCAGTAACAATAATAAAGAAACAATAAATTATCAAGCCCTCAAAACAAGATTATTAAATCTGCCATATTTTAATCATAACAATGAAGCATGCACACTTGTGCTGCTGAGAGGATTTATACCAAGTGAAATTCAAACATGCTTAGAAGAACAGAAAATGCCCAAAAACAAAATAAGCAAATTAACAAGAAGCTTATGTAAAAAGATAGTGGAAAAATCCAAAGAAAAGATATGGAAAGTGAGGTGTGATAGTATCATACAATGGGAAAAAGAAACAGGAATCACAATGGAGCAGAAAGTGGAAAGGTTTAACAGTAATAATAATAATAATAACAGTAGAAATAGTAGTAATAATAGATCTATTAATAGAGACAATAATGAGGATAACAACAACAACACTAATAATAATACTAGTAATAGAAGTAGGAACTTTAGTAATAGTAGCAATAGAAATAGAAGTGAAATTGTAACAAATTATTATGTAAACATATGTACTGAAAACCTAATTTTATTTAATAAAAGAGTGGAATTGAGCTATGGCGATGCCATGAATCAGTAAGTCTGGACCGCCATATCCATTCAAGGTGGCAGGTCACAGTTTTGGGTAGTGGGTCACACCACTATCCATGACTGAATCAAACGTTGTACGATTAACCCATTCCAAGAATGGCATGATCATCATAAAACGTTTGGTCAGACCTCACTCAGCAAAAAAAAAAAAAGATATATAGTTGCCGAAATTTCAAATAAAATAGCAAAGTTACCCAAGTTTAAACCATTATAAATTTTTTTTAATTAAATAACTCAAAAAAACTTTCTATTACATTGTTTTTCATGTCTAGAATATTGCAAAAATAGAGAGTTTTTGGTAAATAGCCCATATTTAATAAAGTATCAGCACTTAAAGATTGGCAACATTTGATGATGTCTTTAGATGATTGCCACTATATACATGATTTTCAACGGGTCACAAGAAAAGGACAGGTGACAGGCATTAGCCACAATTACCTGCACCCTGTCCTTTTTTTGTGACCCATATGGTGTTTTTCTATCAATCCAATTTGCAAAAGGTAAAGTGTCGATAACTAATAAATTTCTTGATGGTGACATTCTCAAAAATGGTTGTTTATCAGGAATCATATAATAATGTGTAATAATATCTTTCCATAAACCCTTGGAAAAAGCATTTGATATGGAATGATTTGGTTACTAAAACCCTCTAAAGGAATAATATATTCTTCAGCTCTTTAAAATCATTTTCATTCGGCTCTGAAATGTTTTCCCCCC